AGCTCTGACACCTGCTGCTGCTGGAGCACAGGCTGTGAGCTAGCTCTGACACCTGCTGCTGCTGCTGCGCTGGAGCACAGGCTGTGAGCTAGCTCCGACACCTGCTGCTGCTGCTGGAGCACAGGCTGTGAGCTAGCTCTGACACCTGCTGGAGGAGCATCAGTCAAACATGAGCACACGGGACCTTCTCACGAACACATCTCACATGTCTGCCAAAGCTAACACAATTCTGAAGGAGTGGAAGCAATATTCTTTATCTATAGGGTATTTGGGTTTTAATCAAGGTTTGTGATGACAGCTTATAATGAGGCAGCTGGTCTTACTAAAATAAAAAAAGCCATATGGAACTATCACCGAGCCGCTGCAAATGGTATCAATTAAAGGCGTCATTTTCCAGACTTTCATTAAAGAGAATTTCATCATAGAGGCCTCGGAAAATAAACTGAAAGGTCTGTTGGAGAAGGGATGGCAAACACCTGCCAACAAACACAGATTCTATTTTTAAATTGAAAATATGAATGGAGAGACTCACATCTGAAAATCTATAATAACAAATCTAGTGACCACAAATGCCTTGGTTTAGTTCACTGACTTATATTTACTTAAACCTCTGTAAGGGATTTAGATGCCATTTCTTTTCAATATCTTCATTAACTTAAGGCACCTTTTAAAAATTGGCAATACTAGCAGTGCTCCTGTTGGAATAATCAATAGGAGGGACACTACAAAAGCAGACAGAATAAAATGAAACTCTGTTCCGTAGTTCTTGGTAATTATGTCACAAATCTAGCTTTGTTTTTAAATCTAGCTTTGTTTTTGTTTTCTAAAAAGCAAAGAAAGTGACCAAAAGGCCTCAGTGTGTGAGAGCACGAGGCTTCTTCATTAAAAGGCACCCAGATGAAAATAAAATTTTGTAAAATGAGTTGTTTTCAAATAAGAACAATATTAAATTTCCAAAGCAGGTGTAGAAGAGAGAGAACCAGACCCACAAGAGACTGGGGTCTGGCTCTAGCCCTTTCTGACCAGCTCTGGTAGCTTGGATCACAGGACCTTGCAAGTTATTATTCCATGATTGTACACAAGATGGTGGTGATCGCACCTCAGCAGCCATTGTGACAAATCGGGCACAGGTACCAGGGCTTTTAGTAACAGGCTTGAAGTCAAGCTCCCCGGCACCGTGGCATGGCCATGGAGCTCGCTTCTGCAGATGGGAGCCAGCTGTAGCGTGGACAAACTGGCTGACGCAGCTCAACGACGCGGCCTGCGGCTGTAAGGTTCTTCAGGGAAGGGTTTCTAGCTCAAGGCCAGCGTGAACGACACAGTAAAATCAAGAGGGGGTAGTGTCTACAGATATTGGGGTACTACTGTTGTAATGATGTTCCCATGAACTCTGAGATCAGCTTGCTTTAACAGGCAATGAAGAGCTCGATGGATGCAGGATGGTGTTTGGGGGAGACAAGAAGTCCTGCGGGCTTGGTAATTACCAAAAACTCCACCCATGGCACCCAGAGGTGAGGCCCCAACGCTGCTCAGGGCCATTTCTCCCAGGTGGGAATCCTGGATCTGCGAAGCAGATTAGAAGAACACTGAGACTGCACAAGACGGAAACGGGCTCAGGTTCTCTGGCTGCTGTGAGAAAGATTCCAGGGCTGGGAACTAAGGCCTAGGGGTCAACCCAGCCAGTGCCACCTCCTCCTCCTCAACCCAAACAAGTTCACAACACACTGCTGCTTTCTGCTGCCTCCATTTATTCTTTATCCTCATCTTCTTCCTCCTCTTCTCTGTCTTCCTCCTCCTCCTCCTTTTTTGTTATAAATTATCCCAGTTCTAGGGTTTGAACTCAGGGCCTTGGTACAAGTCCTTGGCTTTTTTGTTCAAAGCTGGTACTCTACCACCTAAGCCATAGCTTCACTTTGGCTTTTCTTTCCCCACTGCTGGTTAACTAGAGATAAGAATCTCATGGACTTTTCCTGACCTGGCTAGTTTCAAACTGCAACCCTGAGATCTCAGTCTCTTGAGTAGCCAGGATTACAGATTTGAGTCACTGGTGCCCAACTACAACCTGTCTCTACAACCGTCCAACCTTTGGCCTCATCCCCAGGTTCGATGGGTACAGACGCAGTACAATAAGGTCCTTTCCTGAGGCCGCCTCCTAACTGCGAGCTGATGCTCTGTCCCGTTATGAACTGTCAGTTACCTGACGTGATGTAATAAATCTCTCTATTGCTGAAGACAGGGAGAGCTGTTTCCATGGCTGTAAGTAAAAGCCTTAAATGAAACACACAGTAACAAAGGACAGGATTAGGAACAGGTTAAAAAATTTACTTACTTTATGTATTATCTCAAAGTACTTCTGACAGGCTACCTGGTAATGGGACCCTTTTACCAAGTCCAAAATCTAGAACAAACAAGGAAAAAAGAAGGAAAAATTAAAAACTAAGTTTCTTCTAAACCAAAGCAGATCACAGCCGGCCTTCCATTGTGCTCACTCCAAACAGGACACAACCAACCATGGGGCGGGAGTGCCATATGTACTCTCTGTGTGGGGCCTGCTGTACCCACTGTGTGTGGGGTGTGTGTGTCTGTGCTTCATGTGTGATATGTGTTGTATACACTCTATGTGTGGGGTGATGCAGGTATCCTGTGTGGCGCATTGTATGTACCGTATGTGTGGCATGCTGTATGTGTTGTGTGGGTGTTGTCTGTGTGTTGTGTGGGGTGTGTTGTCAGTGCATTGTGTGTGTGGTGTGTTGCATGTGTGTACCATATGTACGTGGCATGGTGCGTGTACCATATGCATAACATGTTGTGTGTACCATATGCACAGCATGTTGTGCACAGTGTGTGGGCGTGTCGCATGTGTGGCATGCTCTGTGTTGAATACGTTGTCCTGCTGTGGATGACCACCGTGACCATCCTGACAGCACCCAGCAGCTGCGTAGGTCACAACAATCCACAGGTGACAGGGGATGTCCTTTACCTGCCAACTGAGGATTGTAATATCCTCACCTTGAGAGCAAGATAGGAACAGGTCCTGGTACCACAACCACCAGTGACTGTCAGAATAGCACCCTGCAGTATCTAGAGTGTGTGCATATGCCTTTAGTAACCTACAGGCCAAAGCATGAAGCAATCAAGTGCACTAGTTAGACTTTAATTTTCACACAACTTGTTTATACAGCGGCAGCACACCGTGCTGTTGTGCTACCACCGCTCAGCGGGGTCTGTGCGAAGCTGGCCTTCACCGACCGTCAGCTCCAGCCGTCAGTGACTCCACAGAAGCCCAGCAGAGCATGACAGCGCGCCTCTCAGCAAGGCCGCCCATCCCTGGTGAGCAGCATGCTTTCTCCTCCCTCCCCACACTGCCTCCTTGGAGCGGTGAAGCCCCATCCTTACCAGCAGACATCTGTAAAGTTTCTTCACCCCCGCCCAGCCCCCACTGGTCAACCATGGTGAAGTGTTGGAGTTCATTTCTACCACATCTCCAAAGCCTTGACCCCCACCCCCTCCACCACACACAGGAATGAACAGAGGCTGGAGTCCCTGCCGTCTTGTCAGGGAAGCACAGGAAACGCACTGCACGGGGGCCATGCAGTGCTGACACGTTGAGTGTGCCGAGAGGCTGGTCACACTTCTGAACTTCAGCCTCCTGGACTCAATCTTACAGGAAAGACCAGGGTGGATGCGAATCAACCCCAGAACCCAAGATTCCGTCTCTGTCTATTTGACCTATTCTTTTGTTGATTGAAATGATACCTACAGAGAAAATGAATTCACGAGAAAACTAAAAAAAGGCACATGTATGTCTCGTGTGAAAACAAAATGACAAGTGTAATGTTTCATTTGCACATACCATGTCTTGCATGGAATCAAAGAACGCTGGTTGCAAAGGTAAAGAAGGAAGGAGGTCGGGCAGCACCCTCCACAGCTGCCCTCCCCGCTCCTGAAGATCACACAGTGATCCTCCGGAGGAGCCGCTCTCTGCTGCTGTAACAGCATGCCTGAAGCGGAGTACTTCTCATAAACATAAAGGTTTCTCAGCTTACAGTTTTGGAGGTGTAAGTCCAAGGAGTCTGCAAGATGGAAGAGAACCGAAGAAAGACACATGACAAGAGGACAGACGGAGGCAGCTTGCTCTTTGGACAGTGGCAGCTCCACTTCCTGAAGGTTCCATGGCCCCCAGGAAGCCTCAGCTTCCAGCCCAGGCACCTCTGGGGACTCACTCAAGCGATAAACAAATCACAGAACAACTTACACAGCCCAGACTGGCTAGGAGCAAACGCGAGAGCTGGGCGAGCCAGAGCTGGGAACTTGCTCACAAGAAGAGAAATGAAGAGCAAATAACAGGACGAAGAACAAGAACCAGATTGAAAAGAATGTGCCAGAGAATAAGTGCAACGAGGTCCAGAGCTCGTCCTGGAAACTTGAGCACGTTCAAGGGCAGACCGCAGCTCAGCAAAGGCATTCCCTGAGCTGCTCAGCTTCCCGTTCAGCTCGGAGCGGACCGAGGCCGCCCCTGGCCGGTGGCTAGTGCCGGCAGGCCGAGCCTCGCAAGAGGCCCCGGGGAGGGTGGAGACTCCAGGCCAGCCAGGCAGAGGGAGGCCGGTCTGCAGTTCTGACAGAGACAGGTAGCTTGTGGCTCAAAACGCCCAGCAGAAAAAGGCTGTGCGCCCAGGCCGGCGGGGAGCCCGGCCTCACCCCCACGAGCTCCGCGACAGCTCCTCCTGCACACACCAGGAGCCCCACAGCCGTCTCGCGAAGGCTGGCGGACCCCGCAGGGCCTGGCAGAAGCCTCCTAGCCCAAGCTGGAGCACGTCCGGCCAGCTAACCAACCCGTCACGGAGAGACTAAGGAGAGTGGAAGTGACTCGAGAAAACCCTCCTCTGACGGTCCACGAACAGTCAACTGGCGGGAGGGCTTCTAGAATTTACTTCCAGAATGAAATGTAAAGCATCCGGTGCGGGCTCCGGGCAGCTCGCGGGCGATGGCCGGCCGGGACGCCGGGCTGGTCGTCCCCCCCTCACCCGGCCGCCCCCCGGGAGGCC